GATTTCTACTTCAAATAAATGCTGTTCTTTTGAACTTTCTATTAATCAAAGAGTCCTGAAAAATACAATGTATCAGTTTCCACAGAAATATGAAGCAGCACAACTGTTTTCAGCATTGATAATAATGAGAAATATTTCTTGAGCAGCAAATCAGCATATTAGACTGATTTTTGAAGATCATGTGACACTGAAGACTGGAGCAGTGATGCTGAAAATGCAGCTTTGATCACAGGAATAAATTACATTTTAACAGATATTCACACTGAAAACAGCTGTTTTAAATTGTAATAATATTACACATTTTTACTGTGTTTTTGATCAAATAAATGCGGCCTTGATGAGCAGAAGAGATTTAAATCTTAATGCCCAGTAGTGTAAGTGTCATGTGATTAATGACGTTTCCTTCTGTATCCTCTCTCAGTCTCACGTTCTCGTGTGACGGTCATCACCTCTACACGGCTAACAGCGAGGGCACGGTGATCGCGTGGTGCCGTCGAGACCAGCAGCGCTTGAAGCTGCCCATGTTTTACTCGTTCCTCAGCAGCTATGCTGCAGGCTGATCCTGCGTCACGCCGCTCGTTACCCACACAGGACGGAAGTTGAGAGCGACCCCGCCGACCCAGGAAGAGGAGGAGCCAGCATGCACAAAGCCCCGCCCACGATCATCACAGAACCCGCCCCTGAAACACCATAGGAACGGACGCCACTTGTACCATAAAGAGCAGGGGCTCCTGAGGCAGCGCGAACGCAGGCCTTTCCCCGCATCATTTCTCCTCGTCTGTTTTGACTGATTCATGTAGTATTTGTGTTGTTGATTATGAAAGCTGCTACAATCTGGTCTGCCCAGACTGAACGTTTGAAGGCCTTTCCTTCTTTTTGTCCCTCGTCTCGCCCACCCGTCACCATCCTGAGAATATCCTGCTTTCGAAGCTACCGACCGTCTGCGCTCCTGCAGAAACAGCATTCATGATCCACGCGGCAGGTTTTAAACGGACGATTAAAAACTGGTGCATGAGTGACATGCAGCGGCGTAATGAATGTGTGCACGCAATGCCTTCTTAAACATCATCCCTCATCGACAGACCGCTGAAATATTTATTCTCAAACAAGGATGAAAGCCACAATCTCAACGTCTGGTTCTTGTTCTTCATTATAAAATGCGCTCGGGACAATCTTATGAATGTCAAAGGTGGTCGTGTGTCACTCGTCAATCGCCGACTGTGCTAATATTTATCCTGTGCTTTTCTACCTGAACAAACGTCCCAGTTACCACATCCGATTTGTAATAGTTCATTAAAAACATGTTCTGCTTGCTTATTTTCTGTTCTAGTTTTATATGTTGCATGTTATGATCACTTGAACATTATTTAACATTGGCGATACAATATAAGGTTTAGTCAGATCTACCTCTAGGCCCCTCTTACAAATAAAAGACAAATAAAATTAGAAATACTTCTGGTAACAATAAAAACAACCTGTTTATTGTACAAAGACGATGACACTATATCCCTAAAAAAATACAATTCCCTGACAGTACAAAGGGTTCGGATGCTCTTGAAGTCTTAAGTGTTGACAGCCTTAAATGTGGAGGAAGAATAATTGAATTTGAGTCCACCATCTAAACATGATCCAGAATGTTATTTGCCTTTGTTTGTTTCCTATTCTGTATTTGCTTTTAGCACGAGTCTTACATTACAACTAATTTAATTATCTTGTCTTACATTTTAGTGTTTACCAGAAAGGGAATGCTTTCACCTTTTTCCCCTTTACTACTTTGTTTTTCATTATTATCAGAAATATCTACTGTGTATCATTTGAACCCTCAAATGAAGTTACTCAGTCAGTGTAAACCCAGAAAGAGTCGACTAGTTCGGGAGAATCATCTGGTGTTTACAGAGCCCTGTTATGTGTTGGTTTTTTGTTTTTGAATCTATTTTCCATGCTTGCATCACATTTATCTCTTAATTATCGTGCACAGTATTGTCATGTTTGCGTTCCCTCAGAAAGAGATTGATGTTACTGTCATCGTGGGAGTTGTTGAAGCGAGATGAATGTGTGAATTTGTTCGACATAACTATCACGAAAAGGCTTATTGTTATCGTTCTGTTGAATTAACAGTGGTTTGTGTAATTTAAGATCGATATGTTCACCGAGGCCTGGCTGGGACATTTATTTCCTTTTTTTTTTGTATTTATGAAATGTAATAAAATGTCACCTATATATAATATAAATATAAATATTCAAGACATTTTGATTCAGTTTGTTGCACTTGTTTCCTGTACAGTGTTAAAAATAGCTTCCAAATGTTTTTTTTTTTCTGCAGGGATTTCATAGAAGAATCTTTTAGTGAACCATTTTTCTTCATATGAAGAACACTTTACGGAGTTAAAGAACCCTTTTTTGCTTCAAAGAACGGAATGGAAAGGTTCTGGGGATGTCAGCCTCGGTATTTCATTTTTCTAATTCAAATATCTGAACATTCTTAAATCAAGATACATTTATTTGAGATGCAAAATGAACATGAAGTATTATTTTATAAATTGAGTTTATGCTTAAAACAAGTACAAATATCTGCCAATGGAGTATAATGTGTTTTCCTTTTGAATGAAGTGTGTTTTTTTGAGCCCACTGGCAGATATTTGTTCTTTTAATTATAAACGCTTCATTTTGATGAATTTCTGATGAAGAGATCTGTGTGAAGTCATATTTTCAAACTCTGGAGTGTTGCTAATAGAACTCGTTTACATTTAGAGAACATGACATAAGTGTTGCCTTAATTTTATTCCTTACATTTTCTTCACTAGATCTTAAAAAGTGTTACATTTACCTTCATAACACCTGCAGAACCCCTGATTCATGGAACCACGTGCCAATAAAGAGCCTTCATTTTATTCTATATTTGTCAGTTCTACACTTTTAAAAAGAATTTCATAGCGATACCACAGAAGAACAATTTCTGGTTCCCCAAAGAATCTTTCCGTTCTTAAAAGAACCAGTTTTCTTAGTGTAAAGAATGATTAAAAACCACCATATTCCACAATATGCTGAATCGTATCTGTAGATTAACTTTATTTAGATGAACTTTTTTGCAATGTAAGTGTTCCATGGATGTCATATGTTTCCTTTAACAACGAAGAACATTTATTTTAGTCTATATTGCTTAGTTCTTTTCTATTGTGGTATATTCGGTTTTATTCTGTTCCATTATATACTGCTTGTTCTATTACTGTATTATAATTAGCCTGTATACTTAACTAGTAGGCTATTCTATTCTATTCAAGTTCCCAGCTGCATTTGTGTCTTTGCTTATTAATCAAACTTGCTATAATACCGTGAGTGTTACGTCACAGCGCGAGTGTTTCGGAGGCGGTGACGTCATCGCGGTGACTGGGAGACCCGGTGATGTCACGTTAAGCGGGGAAACCTCACGTGCCTCCGGTGCGCCCTGCAATATACCGAGCCCTAACGATCCGACACCGAGCGTCTTGTGATATTAACGCGTCCGGCGGGCTTCTTAAAGGCGCAGCGACACCTGCGTTTGTGCGTCGCATCGAGGTTCCCCTCGCATCTCATCCAGCGCCGGAGCAGAAAAGCGGGTGATGAACCGTGTTTGAGGTGTTGCAGGTTTTTCCTCGTCGCGTTCGGGTGGAGTCGAGCCACATACTGTGCAGTGACACACTTCAGGTGGGTGTTCACACGCGTTACCTTCAACTGCGTTTCCTGTTCTGCTGAATTAGAACGTTTGTGCAACATTCGCTGCGCGTTTGTTACAATTCCGGCGTTCCTTTACGGGTGACGGATTCGCTTGTTATCGAATTGAAACGCGCTCAGTCTGAAGGGATGCGGGCTGATGGATGGGTCCCGCAGGGTTTTTAGGGGGGAGTGATGCTGGAAGCACGTCTCTTGGGCGTTTGAGTCCACCGCCTTTAAATCGTAACGATCGGCTGTGATTGCTAAGCGTTCAGAGATAATTCACGAAATGGCCTTGAATGAACGGATGGAGGAATAATAATCACGACCCTCGTGTGTTTTTGCTGATGCTAGATTTCATGTCGCCTACAAATAATGAGCATTATGAAAGCTAAAACAGCTTTGGGTAAATATGGTTTATTTCTATGATGCTGAATTGTGAAGCATGTTATTCAATCAAATGCTCCAGTGCTTCTGGCCTGTATTCAGCATTGGTGTGGCATCATGACTGATGAGCTTCATAAACGCCTTTTTAACCCTCATGTTCTGGTGGTGTTGCTGTGTAGTGATTTATGTGTAAAAAATATTCCTAAAATTCCTCTGACCGTTTTGACGGGTATTATTGGAGCTGTTATATCACAACATTGGCATAGACTTGAGAAATGTGATTGTTTGGTGCAAAACACACTGTATAGGGTTTACAGTTCTGGAAAATTCACGGAAATTAATAAAATCATAAAAAGTCATGGGTTTTTACATTTTCGATAATGAGCATATACACATCCATACACTGCCGTAAGTGAGAATGTGTAATGTTTTATTTAAACGTCTCTTCTGCTCACCAAGGCTGCATTTATTTGATCGAAAATGCTGTAAAAATTGCTAAATGTTTTTATAATTTAAAATAACAGGCTTTTGTTGTAATAGATGTTAAACTGTAATTTATTCCTGTGATCAAAGCTGTATTTTCAGCATCATTACTCCAGTCTTCAGTCACATGATCTTCAGAAATCATTCGAATATGCTGATTTGCTGCTCGAGAAACATTTCTGATTATTAGCAATGTTGAAAACAGTTGTGCTGCACGATATTTTTTGTGGAAACTGTGATTGAATCATTCTTTGATGAATAGAACATTCAGAAGCACAGCATTTACTTGAAATAGAATTCTTTCATAATATTAGAAATGTCTTTACTGTCACTTTTGATCAGATTAATGCATCCTTGATTTTTTTTTAATTAATATTTTGAATAAAAAATCTTACTGACCACAAATTTTTATTGGTGTGTGTATATGTGAGTCATAAATCCTGTCACATGGTTACAGTAAAGTACTGTGGTAATGCCATAGAACTTTGTCATTTATTTTACCTTTTACATTATTAAATGTTAACCTCTTGAGCATCTATGAGTTTGCATGAAGAACATAAAAACTCTTATTCTTTTTGGCTAAGTGTCTATTAAGTTTTGTTTAGTAAACATTTTAGTGCTATATGATATATAGCCTACCATGCTACTGAATAATTACAGTCTTCACATACAATGGTATTTACTTGAAGGTACTCATAAGAATACTGGTGCACCATCGTGTAGTCTTTGTTAGTGTAAGATCTAATATTGTTGTGATTGTCTGGAGTTGAAGTTTGACCTGCAGGAGTCAGCTGTGCTGTAATAATACAGAAGCAGCTCACAGACTCTCCGTGTCTCATCTGGTGTGTGTTTTGTGTGCAGGACTCAATCATGAAGGACGGAATGGCTAATAACAGCACCGCCAGCATCTCTCAGGCCCGGAAAGCCGTGGAGCAGCTGAAGATGGAGGCCTGCATGGACAGGATAAAGGTCTGTGTGTTTTAAACTCACCAAAATCATGAAAACGTCAAAATCGACCGTTTAATTCACTGGTATGGGCACAAGAAAACATACGCTTTTTATCACAAGTAAGAATCTTTTATAGAGTTTCCTCTTGTATGGAACAGTTTGAACTGAATTTAAACGAATGTTTGATTCATTTCTGTCCTAAAATAGCAATTGAAGCTGGTATGGCAATAAAACACAACAATTGTGAATGATTAATCAGTGCACAATTATTTATTTTCACTGATAAGCTACCACTAAATATTGTAGAAACTTAATTTTCTGTAAAGTTGCTTTGCAACGATTTGTATCGTGAAAAGCGCTGTACAAATAAACTTGAATTTAATTACATTTTAAGCTTGTATGACAATAAACTCAAATACAATACAAATATATGTGACCCTGGAGCACAAAAGCAGTCTTAAGTCGCTGGGGTATATTTGTAGCAATAGCCAACAATACATTGTATGGGTCAAAATTATACATTTTTCTTTTATGCCAAAAATCATTAGGATATTAAGTTAAGATCATGTTCCATGAAGATACTTAGTACATTTCCTACCGTAAATATATCAAAACTTAATTTTTGATTAGTAATATGCATTGCTAAGAACTTCATTTAGACAACTTTAAAGATGATTTTCTCAATATTTAGATTTTTTTGCACCCTCAGATTCCAGATTTTCACATAGTTGCCAAATATTGTCCTATCCTAACAAACCATACATCAATGGAAAGCTTATTTATTCAGCTTTATTCAGATGATGTATAAATCTCAATTTTGAAAAATTGACCCTTATGACTGGTTTTGTGCTCCAGGGTCACGATTGTGAATTAGTAATCAGTGCACAATTGTTATTTATTTATTTTATTGTTTGTAAAGATAATATCGTAAAAGTATTGTATACAATTCATTGAAGTATTATTGTTATGATTATTTGAAATTGTATTACTCTTTAGTTTGCCATGAATAGCCTTTGGTGGCATTAAATAATAAACAAATTAATCAGTGCAAGTTATTACAAAGAAAAAATACAAATACGTTAAAACAACAAGCAAGACTTTCCATTTTAATTAATGTCACTAAAGATGGATAATATATATATTCTTGATGAATATCCTGTTTCGCTTAAAAAAGTACGTCTGACTAGAGAAGTAAAAACACTTCATGTTTCATGGTGACGGTCATTTGGCCACTTAGTCCCGCCCCCAAACTCACGTGATTGGTTGAGTCGGAAGTTGACATGTTATTTTAACCCATCTAGTGTCCCTTCATTAACCTTCTAAAACAGTCATATTTAGGGTGCAGATTTGTGTTGTAAATCAATGGCCTGCTTGCAACAAATCATATGCCATCATGCATGACGTGTTGACAGCAGCATCTGGAGATGTTTGCAGGGAATTTGTTTTGTTATCTGCTCTAATGTGCCCAGAAGACTAAGCGAGCGCTTTAAGGAAGCGTAATGTAGCCATTAGCTGTAGTTGTGTGCGTCTGGCTGAGCGTTTAGCCTGTAAACCCGAGGGATGAGAGACGGAGCGAGCGTTTAGAGGAGCACGGGCTCAGCTGTGGCCTTTAGCTGCGAAGAGAGATGGATTGGACGGTTTCTCATCTTCCTGCAGATGGCAGATATTTTCTGACTGACATCAGATACGACCTCTGCTTTTAACCACTGGGAAATATTCTGAGAAGCAATCTATAGGTAGACTGATTCTTTATTGATTCCCAATGAGACATCTACCAGTCTGTGTTTGAATCAACACACAAAATAACATCTTATAATCATTGCAAAAATCCTAATGGAGTCTTTATTGCTGCGTTTAATATTAAAATCAACTAGAACTTACATTTACAACCTGTATTTACTCCTGATGTTTTTAACGTATATAATTTTTTACATGCATGTGTTTTTGTGTGTGTGTATGTGTGTATATGATATTATGAAGTGCCATACAGGAAATAATTATATAAAAGGATTTTAATAGTTAACTAAAACCTTTAAAAAAAGCATTTATATAAAATATTTTATTTTTTCAACAGTTTTTATTTTCATGTAGTTTCATGTACTTGATGTACTACAATAACTAAAAATACAAATAAAACAAATAAAAATTATATAGACATTAAAAAAATGAAACTGAAAAAAACTTTCTAAAATTAAAATGAAGCAAAAATGACAATTCAAATTAATTCACAATATTTATAAAAACTATTATATTATTTCAATGATACTAAAATAACACTGATACTCACACACATATGTGTATGATATATATGATATATGTTTTAAATATATTTTTATTTTATTTATTTAATTTTATTTATTTTTTTTATTTTTCTTTTTTTATTAACTTGCATTGATGAATCAGTCACAATAAGACCAGGCAAAATGTTTTAAGAAAGTAAACCGAGTTCATTTTGATTCATGTGATTGGAAGTTGTAAATAAGTGTCAGGATTGTGAATTGTCTTGTTCTTTCTGTCCACTTTCTCGTGTCGTAAGTTAACAAACAGATTCCCACAGTAATCAGTAGAAAGCTTCTCATCATCTGACCGCTGTGAGGCGTCTCATGCGCTCGTGTCTCGCGGCGTCTCATCCTGGAGCTCGTTTATGTCCCGCTAAATAACACAATGTTTGTTTTCTCTCACAGCAAAAGGCATAGGATTTAACAGGATTGTGGGAAGTGAACTTTATTGTGACCTGCAGCGGTTTGTATGAACTATCAGTGATGCTGGACTCCCAAACAGCAGCCGTGAAACACAAAGAAAGAGAGTATATTGAGATGTTTCTGTGTGGACGAGAGCGAGTGGCCTGTTTGCTTGTGTTGATTAATTCCTCAATCACAGTGGAATGTGGTATGTGTTAATTAGTGAGGCTCGTTCATCAGCGGCTGGCGTGCTGTAATTACAGACTCCCAGCGGCCGGACGGAGCTTATGGGTCCTCCTCTGTGAATACTGTAATAGTCCATTAGGGCTCGACGTGGCACTTCTACTTCTGTAAATCTACACGCTTTACCATGAAACTTAAAAATGACACTTTAAATCCGATTGTGTTTTAAGTTTGGAATAATTAAGATTTTTATGTTTTTGAAGGAAGTCTATTCTTCTCACCAAGGTTGCATTTACTTGTTTAAAAATACAGTAAAAACAGTAAATCTGTGAAATATTATTACAATCTTAGCTGTGTTATTTCTGTGATGCGCAGCTGTATTTTCAGCATCATTACTCCAGTCTTCAGTGTCACATGATCTTCAGAAATCATTCTAATATGCTGCTTTGCTGCTCAACAAACATTTCTGATTATTATCAATGTTGAAAACTCTTGCACTGCCCAATATTTTAGTGGAAATCATGAGACACTACCATTAAAAGAAGGTTTTAAGGGAAAAAAAATACTACTTTTATTCAACTATTGACCAAAGGTGACAGTAATGTATGCTGACGTTTTTGTTACAAAAGATTTCTATTTCAAACAAATGCTGTTCTTTTTTTAACTTTCTATTTATCAAGGAATCCTGTAAAAATGTATCTATTTTTTCACGAAAATATTAAGCAGCAAAAACTGTTCAACATTGATAATAAAAACCATTATTAATAATAATTGATAATAACCAAATCAGCATATTAGAGTATTTAAAAAAAAAATATATATATATATATATATATACATATACATATACACACACACCTGTATATATTAACAGAATCAAACCTTTCAAAAACACGCAGCAATGTGATTCTTTTATTGAGTGACAGGCAGTGACATTATTAATCGATTTACTATCCGGTGTCTTCTCGTCATCTCCTTAGTGTTTTTACACCGAGAAAAGCAAAAGAACATACTAACAGAGACCACATTCTGTACACACCTTACTAATAAAGCATACTATTTTATATATATATATATATATATATATATATATTAAGGTATTCCAATGTGGTTCAAGGAATTATTATGGTGCATGTCCAAAAACGTAGTACTGCTATGGTATATTTTGGTTCTTTCATATGCGTGAGAAGATGGGAAATGTAGTTTGTTTGTGTTTTTGTACCATCTGGCTGTGAGCGTCACACACACACCGCTGAAGCTCCTGATTCCCGTCCAACAGCTGCGTCTCCAATGAATCAGACTCTTTACTGGACCATGTGCTCCTCTGAGAAACAACACAATATGAGTTATTCATAAAACATATACCACTGACTGCATCACTGAATTATTCATTCAAGTTATAGTTTCATATCAGTTTTTACAAAGTTTCAGTTGAACTGACCTTCGACATTCTGTATTGAAAATATATATATATATAAATATATTTTTGTATTACTGATAAATTACCGTGTACTGACCTAAGAATAATATTTCAGCAAAAATGTGTGTTTTCTATCAGTTGTTTAGAATCAGAACTAGCGATTCCAGATTAATTTTTTAGGATTCGATTATTTTTGTTTCGGTCAAACGTGTGTTCCGAAATGGTTCGTGATTCGGTTTGATTCATTCGGACAGCTCACTCACGCTCTGAATCGTTTAATTGCAGCGTTTCTCACATCGAAAACAAAACGAGCGCTGGATGAGGTTGATATTCCATTGTAGGAAACAAAACTCTGTGAAAACCTAAGTGAAAAAGTGAATCGTAATCTGGTTACACAACACACATCGTAAGCTTGTAAAATATTAATACGGTGAACCAGAAGCACAAAGATATCAATATAGCCGCATTTAGGATTCAAAAGAATTATCGGTCTTCCTAAAAGCTTGAAATGGTTGAGGTATGGTCCACAACACTTCATTTACTTTCCTTTTTCTCCTTCGTAAAAAAAATGTAATTCCAACTTTTAGTTTGAGCTGTATGCATTATTTGAATGAAAAAGTATCCCATATCGTGTTGAGTTCTATTGAGATTAACTACTGAGTTTAGGGCAGTATTTAGATTTTCTGTCATGATTGTGAAAAATGTCACCATTGTATGTCATTCATGCTGCATCGAGAATTGCAAAAGTAACTCCGATCATCATTCTGAGTGAAAACTGGACAATGCAGTATGTTTTTCCGCCTTTTCTCGGTGTAAAAACACTAAGGGAAGCAGGTCGCGGAGATGAAGAGAAGACGCCGGATAGTAAATCTATTAATAGTGATGCACCGAAATGAAAATTCTTGGCCGAAGCCGAACAAAATGAAACACTGGGTCGAAGGCCAAATACCGAACATGCATTTTTTTCCCCATGTATTTTGCCAATTTTCTTAACCATTGCATAAATTAAATACCCACATTTTGCTTTTTACTGTTTTGTCTTGTTTTTCAAAAAAAATAAAAAATTACAAAACAACAATTTAAAAATATTTACTTAACACTTTTTTAACATTCTTGCAGACATTATACCAACAAAGCACAAATTAATTTTTTGGGGTAATTGAGACCCCCTTCTTGAATCAGCCATGTATTTTTTTTACTGCACAAATAAATGCAGCCTGGCTGAGCAAAAGATAATTTTTTAAAAACATATTTCAGATATTTCTGATATCAGATATCAGTGCCATTCAGAAATCTATTAGAGATTTGAACACTATGTGTGAAATGTTAGGCTATAATAAATGTATTAATATAGCTGTTGTACTTATTATTATCATTATTATTGTCTTACTTTGTATTTTATTTTACAGAACAACAGTAAAATTACAATACTAGCATTTATGAATGTTAATGGGGCTTTTATTTTGGCAGAAGCCCCTAGAAAGTCTTCAGTGCTTCTTTTTGTTGACAACAGCAGATTTATAAATGACTCTCTTTAAAGGGGTCATATGATGCTGCTAAAAAGGACATTATTTTGTGTATTTGGTGTAATTTTGAAGATGTTTGCTGCACGTATCACATTGTCACATCCCTTGTAAAAATTCATAAAAATGTTACTGAGCAGCTGACGAGTAACACAGTTTCAGCGCAGATTTTCCTCGCGCTTTGGACTTTGAACCCTGGCGCCGCGAGCTCGTGCAACGCTGTTTGAATACCTGCAATTCATGCGTGTATTAGAAAACTTGTGCTGCGTCCCAATGTGCCTACTTATACTACGCCCTTAAAGTATGTACTCTTTTGGTGAAGAAAAAGTACACACTTTTGAGTGTGTAGTAGAAGAGTAGGCAAGCTTTGGGACATACTATAACATCATACAATTGCGTGTTTAACGGTCCGTCTCATAATTACACACACCCTGTCACTGTAAACTGGTCTGTCAATCATCTTGTCACAGTTAACATCCTCCACATTTCATCTCATTTAACTTCCTACTGTACTGGAGAGAAATGAAGTAGCTCGTTGATCTGCCAGCCGTGGGTCTTTATGCTGAGAACTCAGCTCAGATTTTTGCATAATGATGCATTTAAAAGTTAATGGCCAAACGGTTGTTTATAAAAGTTCACATTGTTGTTGTAGATGAAATATCCTAACACGGATAACATTAAATGAAATTTTTTTAACAGGTTAAAGGTTGATTATTAGTAACTCAAACCCCTTTATCTAAACCTCTCTCCTTAACCATAGGTCGCGCACATCCTCCATGTTTGTAGTTTTTTTTTTAAATGTTTTTTTTATTCATGTTTGTAGTTCTGAACCGAATAATTCGTCAAAGCGCAATGGATTGTGGGCAATATTAGCCATCAGAGTGTGCGCGGATCCACACTTCAAAAATCGACCTGAAATAGTAGACCATCCGGGGACTTTTGGCATACTGTTTTCAACATACTCTGCTTTGGGACACACTTATTCTAATCTCTCATACTGTTTAGGATGGATAGTATGAACATTGGGACGCAGGGATAATGCTGCAGTTTATTTACTAATTGTTTGAGGCCATTTCGCGATTTCAATCATCATACAGTAGCCAGAAACAACCACCCCTTTATCTTCTTATCGGAGACATGTAATGCAGATGCAGCACTAAGCAGTCTCTCGCTGTCGGTGCTTGTAATGATTTTTGTGTCTTTCTCCAGTAGCCCCTCACTGCAGAACACAAGATCCAGGGGGCGAGCTTGGATCCACATCTAGGGTGTGCCGACATGTTTGCTGAATTAACGCGCGCCTCTATTTGATCGCATCGCATCACGTCATTATTGTTCGGTACAATTTATTCGGTCTTTTTGCTTATTCGGTTGCCGAACATTCGGTGCATCCTTATCTGTCACTGATTAAACCCACTGCCTGTCTCTCAAAAAAAGAATCATATTGCTGCGTGTTTTTGAAAGGTTTGATTCTGTTTGGTTTAATAATTAACATCACCTTTGCGAGTATGACTCTCACTCGGCTTATGAATTAGCAGGGACATTAAAACGCTCGACACAAATAACGCTTCATGTTGCTTAAGGTAAAAACAGTATTGAATAACTGAATAATAAATGAATAGTCTGTATTTTTATCAGACTTTTTAAGATCAGAAAGAGGCTGTGTGTTTGTGTGCTTCACTCTGGCAGTTTTAGGCCAAAATTCTACAAAGGGGCCTAGAAATAGCAGTGAACACAATGGACTGTGATAAATGTCATGCTTTGGCATGTTTATTCAGCATGACATTTGCAGACTAAAATCATCTTCTTTCAAACTTCTTTTTTTTGTCTTTGCATAGACTGAATGTTTACGTACAACAGTCAGCCAATGCTGTAAAAACATGAGCCAGTGCTGTTTTCTCCGAGTCTGTGGACTCAAGTCTGTCGCTCTGCTTTGGCTGCTGATGGAGCCACAGACGAGGAGGAGAGGAGATACTGATGCTCGTTAGGTCACTTGATCACTTATCAGTTATTAGAATAGAGATGGTCAGTTCTAGAGCTAAGCACAGATGAGTTTCATGTGTGTTAGTTTGCTGAACTACAGTGTCCTGGATGATCCGAAGCATTGTAATGTGATATGGGGGAGAAAAAAGTGATAGGAATATATTGTTTTTATAATAATAATAATAATGTTTACCTTTGATATCAAACTAGCAGTAAAAATTAGGATTTTTTTTATTTTTTTATTTTTGAAACTCAGCTTGCATTTATTTGATTAAAAATACAGTTAAAATAGTAATATTGTGAAATATTGTTACCTTTTAAAATAACTGTTTTCAAATTGAATATATGCAAAAATTTAATGTATTTATGAGAAATTTTCAGCATTTTTCCTCCAGACTTCCATTGTCACACGATTCTTCCGAAGTCTTTTATGGAAAATAAAATATTAAATATTTTTGTGGAAACCATGATACACTACCATTCAAAAGTTTGGGGCGTATAAAAAAAAAATCTTACTTTTATTCAGCAAGGACACATTTAAGAAAGTAACAGTGAGAGTAAAGACATTTATAATGAATGAATGAATGATGCATTTATATAGCGCTTTACTGTGTATTGTTGTACACCCAAAGCGCTTTACAATCATGTGGGGGGGTCTCTCCTCAACCACCACAAGCGTGCAGCATCCACTTGGATAATGTTGCAAAAGATTTCTATTTCAAATAAATGCTGTTCTTTTGAACTTTTTATTCATATTTCCACAACAGTATTAGGCAGCACAACTGTTTTCAACATTGATAATAATCAGAAATGTTTCTTGAGCAGCATATTAGAATTGTTTCTGAAGGATCATGTGACACTGAAGACAAACTCAGCTTTGATCGCAGGAATAAATTATATTTTAACAGATATTCACATAGAAAACTATGTTTTAAATTGTAAAAAATATTTCAGTATTACTTGGATAATGTTGCAAAAGATTTCTATTTCAAATAAATGCTTGTTTTTTGAACTTTTTATTCATATTTCCACAACAGTATTAGGCAGCACAACTGTTTTCAACATTGATAATAATCAGAAATGTTTCTTGAGCAGCATATTAGAATTGTTTCTGAAGGATCATGTGACACTGAAGACAAACTCAGCTTTGATCGCAGGAATAAATTATATTTTAACAGATATTCACATAGAAAACTATGTTTTAAATTGTAAAAAATATTTCAGTATTTTTACTGTATTTTGATTAAATAAATGCAACCTTGGCGAGCAGAAGAGACTTCTTTCAAAATCTATGCCATATCTAAACCCCTAGCTCTGTCCTCAGGTGTCCAAGGCCGCGGCGGACCTGATGGCGTACTGTGACGCTCATATACGAGAGGACCCGCTCATCGTGCCTGTCCCGGCCTCAGAAAACCCGTTCCGGGAGAAGAAGTTCTTCTGCACCATCCTCTGAGGCCGGGCCGGGCTGCAGGTTCTGCCGTGAGGTTTCCACGTCCCTGGCTGCTGTTGCTGAGCTGTGTTTGAGTGGCAGCCGCCGCATCTGTTGACGGTCCGATCCCTCCCGGACGCCTGTGAGGGGTTTTTGGGGGGGAGTCAATTAACTGGCAACCCGGTCAGAGCGTCTCATGTCTCGTTAAATAGGTTTGTTATTACTTGGTAATTAAAGAACAGCCATTCTCACTGCTTATGAGATGAGAGATTTTTGTGTTTTCGTTTCGTTTTGACTCATTTGTCGTGCCACAGAGGATGTGAAACCCTGACGGGTGGATGTTTTCTAATGTATTTAGACGTTTTTATAAACTTCAGCTATTTGATATGCATCACTGGTCAAATGTTTGGACACACTTGAGCGAATCCTCAAAAAAAGCTAATGCATTAATAATTGAAATTATTTTTTGTTTACTTTAAACTGAGGACAAAAACAACAGAACTCAATATTTAACAATCGTTACCTATGCATCCATGCATTAATTATATTGATGGAAATATATGTCAAATCATACAGTGGTCATGAAGTCATAAACACAATCCATTTTTCCCTGCTATTGCAAATATTTATTCGTCCGTAGATTTTATAAAAAAGTAATTCTCTTCATGTTTTGAATGATTGAAATTAGTTTCAATCAATTAAATTAGTTTCAATTAGACTTTGTATGAATTTGTTTACAAAACTTGAATTTGATTAATGAATGTCCAAAACGAGAAAGAAGAAGCTCAAATCTAAGAGAGGTTTCATTTGCGTTGCATGTTTTAATCTCTACATTTCATAGGTTTCATGACTATTGTCTGTTTTTGAATATCAGTCGTAATAAAAAATAATGCATCCGCCCTTTGACTTTGATCTGTATTTAGATTTAGAATTAGATTTAAATTCTTATTTTATTGAATGTCTCTCTTTTATTCAATAAGGAGTCATCGCTGCTGAAAATTCAGCTTTGCATCGCAGGAATAAATTACATTTTAAAATATTTTCAAATAGAATAAATTGTTTTCAATTCTAATAATATTTTACTGTATTTTTGATCAAATAAATGCCTTCTTGGTGAGCGTAAGAAATAATAGTCGTAATAAAGAACGAGCAGATGTGTCCAAACCTTTGACTTGTAGTGCATCTGTAATGCATTTCCATTTGAATGATTTCCCATCTCTCCCCATTTTCCGGTATGATGATATTTGAGATATTTTTAATCCGCTTATGTGAATCAAATCTTATCCAGTTTCCAAATTACATTGTGATAAACCGAACCGGATACCTCTGAAAGGCCTCCTCCACATTTGTGATAGGAATACAGCGTTCAGACCTGAGATATTGAATCTGAATCGGTTCAGTTTGAACTCAAACATTCGACAGTAATCCTCATGATGGTTTCTGGGATGCGTTTGCCCTCAAGGTGTTGCGTTGTGCGTCTGTATGAGGTGTCGACTGTACAGAGGTATTTTCTGCCCCAACTGACATATAAAATCCAGCGGGACGGGAGTTTGTGCCGATAACTGTGAGATCACATTATTTTCCTCTTTATCACAAAGTTATTTGGAGATTTCACCTTCGTACAGACAATATTCGAAGCTGAAGTGTGTCATTTCGCAATTGCAAACAATTCTAACGGTCTAAAGTCAGAGTGTTGAACTCTACACATTAAATGGGAATTTTTAAGAAATAGTTCATCCAAAAATGAACATATGCCAATAATTTACCCTCACCCTCAGGCCATTCAAGATGTGGATGAGTTTGTCTCTTCATCAGATTTGGAGAAATGTAGCATTGCATCAGTGTCTCAGCAATGGATGCTCTGCAGTGAATGGGTGCCGTCAGAATGAGAGTCCAAACAGCTGATAAAAACATCACAATAATCCACAGCACTCCAGTCCATCAGTTAACATCTTGAGAAGACAAAAGCTGAAACAAATCCATCATTAAGACGTTTTTAACTTCAAACCATTGCTTCCTGCTAAAATATGAGTCTATAATCCATAATAATGCTTCCTCCAGTGAAAAAGTTGTCTCTCACATCAAAATCCAGCCACATATTAGTTTATGTTTTGTAATGTTTTAGTTTATGTAAAGCTGTTTTGGCTTGTAAACGGTGCTTGATCTGTGCAGATTTCTCTCCTGATTCAGCTTTTGGCTTCTCAAGTCATTAACTGATGGACTGGAGTGCTGTGGATTACTTGTGGATTATTGTGATGTTTTTATCAGCTGTTTGGACTCTCATTCTGACGGCACCCATTCACTGCAGAGCATCCATTGCTGAGACACTGATGCAATGCTATATTTCTACAAACAAACTCATCCTAATCTTGGATGATCTGAGGATGTGTAATTTTTCAGCAAATGTTCATTTTTGCCTGAACTATTCCTTGAATATAAAAGAAATGACACGCATCACCTTTAAATTTAGTCAGAGTTATATTTAAATGACGTTTTTATTCAATGAAAAGATCTTCCCACATGCAAACAGGCAGATTCTTTCCTCAAATCACCTCCCTGCTAATGATTTCTTCACACTTGCTGAATGGCCTTACTAACACGGGCATGTTTCACAATAGTTTTAGAGTTGTTTTGCCTGTCCTGATTTAAACAGCAAGGCCTTTGACTGAAATGCCAAACGGATAGCCTGCAACATGCATG